GAGCCCAAGCAACTTCGAAGCTACACCACCAGCTCTGGCTTCTTGCTTGGAGGATGTAGGGGGTGGAGGCAGCTGAAGAAAGCCCCAACTTTCCCCATCAGACCTGGCTCACGGAGAGCATCAGAGCAAGCAGCTCCGTGCACTGCTGCCCGGGAGGTTGGGGAGGGGGAGGTAGCTTAGCCCTTCCCCCACTCAGTGGAGAGCCCAAGCAACTTCGAAGCTACACCACCAGCTCTGGCTTCTTGCTTGGAGGATGTAGGGGGTGGAGGCAGCTGAAGAAAGCCCCAACTTTCCCCATCAGACCTGGCTCACGGAGAGCATCAGAGCAAGCAGCTCCGTGCACTGCTGTTCCCCCAGTGGGGTGGGGAGAGGTGGGTAGAGAGAATGAACATAAGAACGGCCGTACTGGGTCAGATCAAAGGTCCATTTAGCCCAATATCCTGTCTGCTGACAGTTGCCAGCACCAGGTGCCCCAGAGAGGGTGGACCGAAGACAATGATCAAGCGATTTGTCTCCTGCCATCCCTCTCCAGCCTCTGACAAACAGAGGCCAAGGACACCATTTTATCCCTCGAGAGCACACTTGCTGAGGCCAAGTGCCCCATGCCCCACAGCGCCCCAGCTGGGCTCCGTGCAGTCCCTTCCAGGGCTCAGGCGGTAGCTCTAAGGCACTGAGGTCTGGGAGTGGCTCTGGTGGGTTTTGCCTCGGACACAGACACCCCTACCATCCCGGGCAGCAGCGGCCACTGTAACAAAGAACAAGCGGCCATCTGGAGATGTAGGCGGCAGCAGTGCAGCCAGACCAGGGATCCCACACCACAGCAGTCCTGAGGGGCATGAGAGGGGGCTGTGTGGTGTGCAGTGGGAGGGCAGGGGGTGGCAGGGGCTTGCTGGATGGCAGCGCTCTGAAACTCGGGGAATGCTCCAGAAATCGCGCGCCACCGAAACCACCCTGGCTGCCCACCGGCAAAGTGCCAAGGGAGCTGCCTACGTGCTCTATGGGGGAAGTGGGGAGACTGTTGCTGCTGTGCCGTGTGAGGGGGTGGGTCTCTGCGGGGCTCTGCCAGCCGGAGGAAGGGAAATGGTGGTGCACCGAGCCATATCTGGCTTGCTTCCTCTCCACAAGCCGGATCTGGCAGGGCTTTCCGGGACATTTTACTACTTGATGGGGACACCGGGACAGAGTATTTAAATTTGGGACTGTCCTGGAAAATCTGGGAGGTATGGCTGACATACCAATATGGCTGTTATGTGCAGGCTGCCGGGAGGGAGGAGCCAAGGTTTCATCTCCAGACTCAGCCTGGTGGTAGCTGCTCTCCCCCGCTGCAGGCTCCAGGACTGCAGGGAGCCTGCGAAGATGAGCAAAGGGGCTTGCTCCCCGAGGCAGTTGCACAGCAGGCTCACGACTGAGCCCCGTGTGCACTGTTAAATATCTGTACCACAAAGGCTGTTTCCATTGCAGTCCAGGTAGAGGACCAATGCACAGTAAAATGGAGGCCTTAATCCTCTGCTACAACAAAGTAGTTCTTTTGCAGGAGCCTGTGATGTGCTGAGGATCCCTAGGGTTTGCTTCATGGCTGTTTGTCTACATCTACACTGACCAATGCTCTTAAAATTTCCCCGCTGCTGCGGGAGCTTTGGTACCAATCAGCTGCAGCCACCATTCCATGTTCTCTGCCTAGAGCAGCCCCAGAAGAGGCTGGCTGAACACTCAGCAGCTGGGCTACACTTGTTTTCCCACAGGCAAAGTTGTGATCTTCCCCAGTGCAGTCCTAAATGAAACCAGAAGCCAAGGAGTCCCCCTCTCAGGCGTCTGCATGAGTGAGGAGAGTGTAACTGAAGCTCTCCCATCTCAATTTTCACTGAGGTGCCCAGAGCTGTTTAGCTTGCTGGCATCCTGGAAGGGGAGAACCCAGCTGAGCTGTCTGGTGCAGCCAGTTTCAGCTCTTGCAGGAGGAGAGCATCCTGGAAGGGGAGAAACCACCTGAGCTCTCTGGTGCAGCCAGTTTCAGCTCTTGCAGGAGGAGCGCTCCTCCCTGCCCCAGCGGCAAGGGGTGGGGGTTTGGGCAGGCATAGTGCCAGGGGACCTTGGAAGGCTTGCTGGTTGGGTAAGGGGCACCAAATAACAGTGAGATGTTGTGTGTCATGGCCAGCCGCAGCACTAAGCAAGGGGCCTGTGGAATTACTTCTCCATCCCAAAATATAATGGAATCCACCTCTGTAGACCAGCATTATTGGGGAACAATATAAAAATCGGAGGCGTCTCTCTAGGCCACCACCTGTTTCTTGCTGCCAGCTGCCTCGGCTGGAGTCTGAACAGCAGGGCAGGCAGCTCATTTTTTAATAACCCCAGGCTGGGATATAAATGTGGAGATGCACGCTCTCTCTCTCATGGAGTTTGTGGCCCGAAGGAGCCGCCAGATCATCTGGTCTGACCTGTACATCACAGTGCAGGGAGGCTGTGCCGCCAGTGCCAGAGAAGAGCTTGTGATTGCTTCGGCCTTGCATAACTCCTGTAGAGGCCGCAGAATGACTCACTCCATGGCGGAGCCAGAATTAGACTGTAACAGTCACTAGCTGTCAGTCTGAGCTCGTGCCCCCATGCAGGCCATGTCTCATGGTGCCTGTGAGAAGAGCAGGCTAGGAGGAAATGTACACCAGCCTTCATTGCACAGTAGGAGTCTAGTTGGCACCACTCTCCCCGGAGTAAATCAGAGGGGGCTTCCCCAAAAGCCAGATTCTGGGTCCCTTGGGTCCCAACTGCCTGCACTGGGAGGCCACAGGACAATGTTCCCTTCCATCCCTGTGTGGATTTTTTCCATCCATGTGCAGAATAATTTGTATGCGCACTGAGGCATGTGTGAATGTGCACCACCAGTAGACACAAAAAACCTATCTCTGGGCTAATCAGCAAGACGGCATTGGAATATCTTTTGAGTGGCTGCATGAGCGCTCATGGTACAGGGAATACTGCCAAAGGAAAACAGCTATTCTAGTTTTCTCTTCTGAGTGACACAGAGTAAATGGAGAATGTTAAAAATATCTTCCTTTCTAACTTCCTTTTTAATGATCCAAGAGACTAGTTCTAGTCAAAAATAAGGATTTATAAGACTAAAATTTCCTAATGTAAACTGTCCCTTTAAATTCTGTCTTGTCTATTTAGTCATTGTAGGAGCAGCTTCAAAAGCCAGTGTTATTGTACCTGATAGTCTGCTGTGGCCCTGTAGGAGCTATTTTGGTGTTGCAAGTGGGTGTGTTTGGATGATTTAAGCAACAGAGGCAGATGTAGCTGGCCTGAGTCAGTCAGACAGTGAGGCACCCAGCATGGCTCAGACGGTGCAATATATGAAGCCCAAAGCTATGAGGCTGCAGGGATGCTATTGGCAGTCATAAGACGAGCTGGTCAGAGCAATGTGTTCAGCACCGTCATTACTCAGTTCATGTGAAGCTCTCAGTTCATCTAGAACTCGCCTTAGCCTGCAAATGATTCTTGTGGAAGCCAAATGTCCCCATTTGGTTTCCACTGAAGCCGATAGCAAAACTCCAGGACCTCATTTTCCCATGTGCCACGCTGCTGCTCCCTACGAGGAACCAAATTACTCAGCACCACAGGATCTAGCCACCCTACTAGGTTGTTTCATTTAAACTGAATGGGATGTTGTCCTAGTCTTGTTAATGGGATTGACTTGTTTAGTGTGATGCAAAATAAAGTCAGCATCCCACCTAGGCTGCTGCTGAATGTGCAGCCAGGCTGACACTGAATAGTGTATAAACAGGTTTGGAACAGGCTGGCCAACAGGGACGAGGGGGGAGAGAAGCAGAGAAGAGGGAAGCAACTGCTCCGGGACCCAGCAATTCAAAAGGGGGGTCTTGGATGCTGCCGCCACTGCCCTTTACATTACTAACAAAACCCTGCATGCTCTGGGCAGCACTGAGGGCTGTCTGAGAAGGCTAGCTCCAGCCCTGCTCCGCCCCTTCTGCCTGAGGCCCCACCCCATCTACCAGAAGCCCCGCCCCTTCTGGGGCACGGAGTCCCATCCCTCTGCTCGCTTTGCCAGGGGCTTAGCAAATCTCTTGGCTCCACTGGTTCGGAATGATGCATTTTGAAGTGTTCAGGGGGTTATAATCACTTCTGTGTTTCTCAGTACATTTAAGAAGCTCCAAACTGAAGCCCTTTTGTGCTAGGCACTGCAAGCACGTAGTAAGAAACAGGTCCTGTCCCCAGGCATTTACACAGACGAGGTAAGTCATGCACACTGAGAAAATAGTTGGAATCACACAGTCGGCAGCAAGGCACATAAAGTGCACTAAGGCCTGGATTATGAAACCGGTAGAAGTATAATTGCACATACTCACTTGTCGTGTTATGTATTTCGGCAACTTGACAATTTAATTAAGAAAACCAAACAACCCTTATTTTGAACACCAAAATCAGTTAGTCCCCAGTGAAGACTTACTCCCCAAAAAGTTTGCTGGAGCTGAAATAGCGGAGCACTTAAGCTCTGAGAAGTCAACTTTGGTGGTGGGGATGCGTGCTACATCTTAAATCTGAAGGAGGAGGAGAGAATTACTATTGTTTAAATGAATAAAATGGCACGTGGGCTTTCACTGAATAGTTGCCATTCGAATTTTTGCTGTGAAATGCCATTAGTGTTGGGGAGCACATGGAGAGGCCAGAAGAGAGAAATTGGATCAGTCTAATGTCTAATTTTAACTACATGTGCAGCATTTAATATAGAAGCAGCTGGTGCTGTATAAATCTCTTGGCTTGTCAAGTAGCCCAAGTGCACCACTAAATCAAGCACATTCATTTAAACCCAAAGCAATGGTTTCTTTTTAACATACACTTGACTGAATGTAAATTGGAGCAATAGTTTCACAAAAGCATATGGCGCATGTGCAGTGCTCAGAGTGCTAGAATTTCATGCCATTTAATTAGAAAAAATAGATGTGATTGATTTATTTTGCTGCCTAATGATTAAATTACATGCTTGTACCTACCTGGGTCTGTTTACAAGTGGTGGAAAACTTTTCTGGTCAGTAAAAATCTGTAACCCATGCACTTTGGCTCAGGAAATTCCTTGAACAATGCAAATCACTGTGAAAGTTTTCAAATGACAGCCACTTATGATCTGAGACTAGCTTCTGGTAGTCTCTCAAGTTATTGGATGTCCTTCTAATTACTTAAGATAAATCTAGGAAGTGATCTCAGAGTGTGCTCCAATTTCTGGATTTTTTGTCAGCTGACTCCCTATATTCCTAGGTAGAAAATAGCTAAAAATACATATGGACTTGAATTTTCTGTCTGCCAGCATGATTACTGAGAGAGCTCATCTATTAAATTCTGACATGGCCTATGAACAAAATAACCCATGATTGCAGGAGCACAAAAGGAAAAGGAACCACAGCCCAATGTTTAACATAACCCTCCACGCCACTGCAAATATGAAATAGTTGAATTTGTCTGTTTTGACTGCAGTAAAAAAGAAGCATTTAAGAAGCTAGTTCTGAGTTTTCATTAAAAACAAATTGGCAGGATTGGTTCAGATTCCAATCTCTAAGAAATAAAATGCCTCCCCATTATCCTGTGACAGCAACAGCAATTCCTTGATGTCTAACAGCAATGGAACGGCTTGGTTTGAGAACTGTCCCTCCTTAGGCATGATGGAACCTAACAAATCCACTCCTGCCAGCAGTTGTGTGCTCACAATTTCCCTTTGACATCTGGAGAGCCAAATGGGAATGGAAGCTTCATTGCTGGAAAAATATCTCTAAATGTTGTTCAAAGAAGTGAACTGCATGGATTGATGGATACACCAACTGATTGCATGGATTGATTGACTGGTACCTGAGCATATTGTCTTATCCATGAAAGCCTGGTACTTTGTCCTTTGGTAATGCAAGGTCATGAACTCTAGCAATAAATTAGATTTGTGGCCATTTTCACTGTGTGACAAGTTATGAGCTATAACAGTGGCCAAACCGAAGCCTTTAAAATGTGGAAAATAGTTGTTAGGAAGGGGGAAGGGGAAGGTCAGCTATTATAAAGTCTTGGGCTTTTTTAGGCCTAAGTTCTCAAAGGTATTTAGGTCCCTGATCCTCAAAGGTGCTTGGGTTTCAGTGTGAGTTAGGAACCTGGATATCTTTGAAGAGCTGGGCATTAGAGCAGTGGTGGGCAGCTTGTGGACTGAGGGCCACATATGGCCCATTGGGATTCTATGTATGGCCCACATTTTGTTCACTGCTGCCCATGCGCAGGGGTTGCCAGATTCTTCTTGGGTTTTGGCCATGTATGTTTTTTCCTACCAGTTTTACGAAAGTGACGTGTATTTAAAGCAAAGGCACGTGAGGTGGGTGCTGATGGCCGCGAGCTCCCTCTGCATCCAATCAAAACACTCTTACGGTTCAGTCAGCATAAAACTAGTGTTTCCTAGTCTGTAATAACGAAAGTGAGGTGGGTGCTGATGGCCGTGAGCTCCCTCTGCATCCAATCAAAACACTCTTACGGTTCAGTCAGCAAGCGCAAATTCAAGGTGCACAATCACAGTTAGCAAAACGACACTATCCTGGGAGGCCATCTTGGTTACGACAATCTTTCAGCTCACTGAGATAAAGGAGGGCCACTCATGCAGCCTGCTCACTAGCCTAGGGTGCCCATCGCTTCATTAGAGCCTTCAAGCCAAGAATCTCAGCAATTTTCTTTTTAGTAACATTTTTGTTACTAGTTTTATCATAGTGCCTAGGAGCCTCAGTCCTGCACCAGGGCCTGCATTGTGCTAGGCACTGTACAGAACAGAAAGACAGCACCTGCCCCAAAGAGCTTACAATCTCAGACAACAGGCGGCTACAGGGGCTACAGACAAATAGGGGACCAGAAGGAAACAGTAAGACACTGTTGTGCCGCTTGACTGGCGAGATCTCTGCACAGCAGCAGGCTGATGGTGGTCATGTTTTTTGTAAGCAAAGGAGGGGTGTGAAGGACAATAATGAGGAGCTCCGTGGATGCACGGGCTGGGGATCCCCTCTAAAGCTGCCTACGCTGCCCCTCATGATTTGCAGACTGTCTGTAACAGGAGGGTTAACTTGGCTACCCCTCTGAAATTACTCCAGAAGTAAGGTAGGTTTCGTTATCTCCATTTCACAGATGGGAGGTGATGGAGACAGACAGGTTACATGTCATTTGGGTACTGTCTGGGGGGGGGGTGTTCAATAACATTAAATGACCCCATTTAATGCAAGCCAGTGAACCACCAGGCCCTGCCTTGCACAAAACAATATTCGCTTTAGAGAGGTGATGGGTTAACTAGCTTAAAATTAGAGGGCTTTAAAATAAATTGAGACGGCACTTAATTAAAATGTTTTCACGGGATCTTTTCAGGGAGCCAACTTCATGTCCAACCTAGCTCCTGTAGCCAGTGGAGTTATACCAGGCATGAACTGGCCCTGCCCTGTAGCTTTTGAAACACCAGCCAGGGAATTTATGTAACAGCCAGGGCAATTCAGAGGTCACATTTTAGATAGCAGAGAGCTTTCATGTCGTTCCAATTAATTCAACAGAACTTTGGCAAAAGACAAAAAGATGTAAGAGAGGGCTATAAAGTTCAGTGTTTCCTAGTCTGTAATAACGAAGTAAATGGGGGGAGGGGAATCCTGAAATCAGACATAAATCACTATGGCTTTAGCTTCTATGTCCAGAATGGGAGAAAATTTTTTTAAAAAAGTGAGCTTACATTTTGGCTGTAAAATAAAAAGGGCACTTTTCAGCCGCACTATTCCCTTGGATTACCACCACCAAGAGTTTGGATGTATGTTTTTTTTCTTTAATTGAAGGATGGTTGCCTAGTCCAGAGCCCAAGGGAGTTAATGGGAATATGCCCATTGATTTCAGTAGGCTTCTTTGGACCAGGCTTCCAGGTTTACTGCAGTGGGGGAGGGTTGCCACTTGCTGAGCTGCAGCTTATGAGTAGACTTGACTGCTTCCTCTCGGGGCCAGGGAGCCTCTTCTTCCTGCTGCCCCAGAATACAAGGTTGGCATTTTCTTGTTCCAAAAGTGCCTTTGGCCCTCAAAAAACTTTATCTGCTAATTAGCCTCTTGTGAAAGCAGGCTGTGAAGTAGGGATGTAACGGTGTATGTGGTTAAACGATTCATCAATAAGTGGATGCTTATTAGTTATTGTTACCGGCTACACACAAACCCCACCCTCCCTCAATGGCTCTGTGAGTAAATTTTTTAAGTGGGCAGGCTGGCAGGCTGGCTCAGTCCCCAGCTGACCCAGGGTCCCAGTAGCTACTCCAGCTGTGGCTCTGCATTGCAGGACTGAGCCAGCCTGCCTGCCCGCCCACTGGCTCCCACATTACTGTCAATGCAAAGTCACAGCGGTTAACTGTATAACCAACAAAATATTTTGGGGGAGGTCTAGGTTGGATATTAGGAAAAACTATTTCCCTAGGAGGGTGGTGAAGCACTGGAATGGGTTACCTAGGGAGGTGGGGGAATCTCCATCCCTAGAGGTTTTTAAGTCTTGGATTGACAAAGCCCTGGCTGGGTTGATTTAGTTGGGATTGGCCCTGCCTTGGACAGGGAGCTGGACTTGATGACCTCCTGAGGTCTCTTCCATCTCTGATTCTATGTTACTGGATTACACGCATTTTATCATCCTGACCGTGGAACATGGCTCCCTCCCCAGAGCCCAACTCAGCAACAACAAAAGGAAAATCCAGCCTGGTCCAGAGGCCACCTGCCTCCGTCTCAACCTCTTATCCTGCCTAGGTACTCAGACCCTCTGACAGATAGGCACCTAACTCACACGCTAGTTTTCCAGGGGACCTATGTGCCTTTTTACCTGTCAGCAATGGGCCTTAACTTTGAGGGCCCCAGAGTCTACATGGGGCATCACTATGAGAACTATCCCCTGGTAGTGTCTGCTCCCTGAGGTGAGACAAGTGGCATGGTGCAGGTGGGATGCTCGCTGTCTCCCTGACACCTTTCTCCTTACTGCCACTCAGTCTAGCTGGGTTACGTTTAGGCTGCCAAAGCAGTCTGCCCCTTTCTCACTGTGGCTCATTCTGCCATGGACCCAGGACTCACAGCCCTACTTGGGGAGTGCAGGGGGCCAGGCCTTAGAGCAAGAGCTGCTCATGCACGCAGGAGTTGAGGAATAACTGCTTTGGGCATTTCAGTAGAATTGGACTGTTCCATCGAGTACAGAGCCCCAGATGTGAAATTCAATATTAAACCCCCTCCCACCTCGTCAGTGTATTACAAGCCACCAGATGACCGTCGCAAACTCTTGGTGCACCACCAGAGGAAGAGAAATTAAAAGGTTGCTCACATTTCAGAGCCACCAGATACATTTTGGGCTCCAACTACCCAGCAGCTTGACTTAGCACCGAGACTTGTAAAGACAAGACTCCTCCAGACACACCCATTTCCCGCTCAGGACTGGAGCCTGCCTGAGACAGTCGGACTAATTTTTCTTATGTTCAGATCCCTACTTGTGAGTGATGGCATGGCAGGAATGTCAGCTGTATGGGAATACATTTAAAGCATTTTATTCCCATGGCTTTATGAAAATCCACAAAGCAACATCATTTACTGGAAGGAAACAAGTGTCTGATGTGGGCTGGTGAGAGAGAGCAGTGGCAGAAAGTTTGTTGCTTATAATTTATCGCCCTAGACCTTTTGGAGTGCTGGCAAGATGCCAGCTCAGGGTAACCATTAACCAGGACACCTTCAAACTAGGAGCAAGAGAGATAAGAGCAGTAAGCAGAAGGCGCAGTAAGTGGGACACTTTATCTGGAATGCTAAGAATTCTATGTTGGTATTTATTTAGTATCTAAAGAAAATGTGAGCTACATCTCTTCCGTTAGCACTGAAGAATGTAGTAGATAGCTAGGATTTGTTGGAGCCATCTGGATGGTTTACTGACCTAGGCTATCTCAGATCAATCTTGTTAATACTGTCATTGACAGAATAACAGTGTGAAGTTGCAAGGCCCTGTAGTGTTGTACTTTTAGATCAGAAGCACCAAAAATTCCCCATAGAGGGATGTGTTTTGCTCCTGTTTTAAACAGCTTGCTTAAAAACTCTTGTACTGGTCAGGCGCTAGAGCAATCTCACTTTTCTGATTGTTTGCCCAGTGCTACTTTAGCAAGTGATCTTGG